ATCGTCCGCGTATAGCGCCAGTTCGACGTCGTCCTCCCACTCGCGCAGATGTCCTTCCAGTGTTGGGATATCGTTGGTATAAGCCGCGTACAGGACTGGTGACAGACAGCTGCCCTGTGGTACGCCGGCTCTGATGGGTTTCGTTGCAGACTTGGCGTCCTCTACACAGACGTAGAACTTCCTGTCAGGCAGGAATGACGCTACTAGCCGCAACATAGCAGGAGGGATACTGGTCTGTTCTTCTAGCTTGTAGAGTAATCCAGAGTGCCACACTCTGTCGAACGCCTTCTCTATGTCGAGAAGGACGCCCAACGATGTGCGGCCGAAGTTGTGCTCGGCCGCAAGGTAGTGCAGCACTCTGGTCAGCTGTGTCGCTGTTGAGTGATCCCTCCTGAATCCGTGCTGCTCCGCCCGAAGTTGGATGCACGGGCGGAGGCGTCTGAGCAAATTCAAATTCAAATTGTTTATTGCATGTCACATTACAAATATAAGATGTTACATTTGATAGGTATACATGTGACGCCCTGCAAGGGCATAGCAACACTAGAGGACTAACTATTTATGTATAATCTAACTTTTAAACATAAATTATAAAATATCATATCGTCAACATTCAATATTATTCTATATAAATTACTTAAATTAGAAATATAATATAGTCGAAGTATTCTTTCTTTGTCATTATTTATCGTCAAAAAATTCTTTCAAAGTATAATAACATTTATTAATAAGGAATGTTTTTAATTTTTTATTAAATTGCGCAGGGTTTTCTAGGATTTTTATAGAATTCGGTAAATGGTTATAAATCTTTATTGACATAACGTGGGGGCTAGTCGAAACTAATTTTAGTTTGGAGAAGGGTATCCTAAGCTTATATAAATTTCTGTTATTTCTCTCTCAACAATCTTTCTAGCAGTTTAGCTATGTGCGGTAGTAGCGTAATCGGCCTGTAACTGGCAGCCCTACGCCTGTCCTTCTCCCGGGAACCCGTTCGGCAGTACGGTCACCTTGCCAATCTTCCAGTCCTCCGGGAAGTGGGATGTCCGCAATATTCCATTGTAGAGCCGTCCTAACTCTACTAGTGTCCTATTGGGCAGCTGTCGAAGCGCAGCGTTGGTGATCCCGTCGTGCCCCGGCGCCTTCCTGGGTTGCAGGCGGGTCACTGTCCTCCGCAATTCAGCGGGGGAGATGTACCACTCTCCTGCAAGCGGTGGCGCGGGCGATGACAGGAACTCCTGCACGCGGCTCTCCTTCCGAGCCTGAAGATTCATGAACTCCGCACTTGCTGGGTTCGGCATAAATTGCTCCTCGAAGTGCTCTACTAGGATATCCGCTCTACCCTTGGCATCGTAGAGACGTTCGCCCGCGTTGTTGATCAGCGAGCATACTGCGGGTCTAGTCTTGGTCAACTGTCGGTTCAATTTGTAGAGCGACGCATCTTGCTCTTCCGCCTTCACAATGCGCCGCTCCCAGGCCTCTCCTCTGTGGGCCTGGATTGCAACCGACAGTTCCACCGAAATCCGGTTTAGTTGGGTCTTCAGTCTGGGGCAGCGAGTGCCCGCCCAGAGCTTCCTCAGCACCCTCTTGCGCTTAATCTTCGCGTATATGTCGCGCGGCAGTACGTCCCTTCTGTTTGATAGTGGGACGACCGTAGAGGCTGCGTCGAGGGCTTCTTTGATGGTGTTAGTTAGCTTGGTTGCAGCGGCCTCTACGTCCTCCGCTGTACTGATCGGCGTAAAGACTGGAGGTCTCTCCTGCAGAAGTTGATGGTAGAGCCCCCAGTCTATTCTAGTCCTGAAGGCTCTGGGCGGCATTGTCACTGCCCTGAGGCCAAGGGTAATTAGTATCGGGAGGTACTGTGTGTTCATATCGTACAGCACCTCTACCACTATCGGGTAGTTGACGTTTCTAGAGAGCACGATGTCAAGTACGTCCGGACTTCTGCGTGTGTCTGTAGGGACGTGAGAAGGTTCTTCGGGACCTAAAACGTCATAGTTGTTCTCCTCCGCATCTTCATATAGTACACGACCCGGCGGGTTGATCAATCTTGACTCCCACGCCGGGTGTTTGGCGTTTATGTCCCCGGCGATGATGGTGGGCGTTGTGCCTTCCATTACCGTCTGGACGTCTGAGGAGTCAAATAGAGTCCCTGGCGGGCGGTATGCTGGGTAGATCCTTAGTTCCTCGCCCGCCGCCTCCATTTTTATGCCGATAGAGCGCATCGATCGGTAATCTGGCAGGTTTAGTTCTTGGTGGACGATGTCTCTCCTCGCTAGAACCGTCGTGCCTCTATAGGCGGTCCCTTGAGGATTGACCTCGTCCCGCCTGTAGATATGGTAGTTCGACAGCTTCAGATGCGTTGATGGTCTGAGTTTCGTATCCCCCAGCAAGATCACTTGGATGTCCTGTTGTTGAGCGACGGTACGGAGTTCATGGATCCTCTGCTGTATCCCATCCGGGTTCCAATAGAGAAGGCGCAGGTTACGGTTACTCTCCTTCGTGAAGCCGGGCCAGTAGAGTTGCGAGCGCCTTCATCACGGCGGTGATGGGGTCCGTCCCGGCCCTTATGTCTGCCAGGACTTGAGTGTCGACTTCGATAGCTATGCCTACCAATCTTTGGATGGCATTAGCTGTCTCGAAGTCGACTGATGGTGCTTGAATATTTGTTCTTGTTCTTGGCACTGGCCTCGGGACATTAGATTTCACTTCTTTTCGTTGGGTAGAGCGCGCTCTATGTGTAGATATTCTATTTTCCGATAGAGCCCTTTCCGGCGCTCTACCCACGTTGGTTTCCTTCCTCGTAACCTGCGCCTTTATGGCTGTAGTTACTTGTGGTGTCGGGGTAGAGGTCACAGCCTTAGGAGGATGAGGCTGCTCCTTATTCTTCTTTCGCCTCACCCGCTTCTTCTTCTTTGAAGGCTGACGCTCTGTTGCGTCGTTAGCGGGGAGCTGTAGAGTCGCCCCGGTGGTTGACTTCTGCTCAGTGGTTTCCACCGTTTCCATTGGTGTAACGGGTGGGGGGAGGGGCTAATTGCCTACCCTTTCCACTCACGGTGGCCCACCCGTCTTCGTGGATAGTCACCGCTCTCGGGCGACTCTGGGGGATTTTCTTCGAGTGCTCCGGGAGTAGGCCCGGCAGAGTGATCCCCTGCCTTCTGGCGATCCTCCTGAGGACTGGACAGCGACGGTCGTTCGCGGTGTGGTTCTGCGCGCAGTTAGCGCACGTCGGCTCCTCCTCTCTATCCCGAGAGCAAAGGGCGGCAATGTGCTCCCCGGCACAGCGAACACACTTCACTAGCCTGAAGCAGTTGGCAGATGCGTGCCCAAAGCCTGGCAGCGATGGCATTGTGCCGGTCATGTCCGTTTCTGCCAGGCCTCGATGACTACTCCTCTCATATAGAGAAGTTCGTCGATGTGGTATAATGAATTCAGCTGCTCCAGGTTCAGGTGATCCAGTTGGGCGAAGTAGAGGCATCCCGGTCTGCCTCTACGCGGTGGAATGGCCTTCACAAATTGGATTGGGAAGCCCTTAGCCCTAACAGCCTCCTCTATGGTTTTAGTGTCCGTGTCCACTGGCAGCCTCCTGATGCCCACCTTTGTGGGCTTCTTCTCCTCTGGGGTGAAGCAGTACTAGGACAAGTTTGGTGTTTTCTCGGAGAGTTCCTTCATGTATCGCTGTATGATACGGAACTCATCCGGACTCTGGGGCGTGAATCGTATCCCCTTCCCGAATGGGCGGGCATTGGGGGCGTGGTCTAATTTTCCATTCAAGATTTTAAAATGCCCCGTCCAATTCGGGAGGCATTCTACGACGATGGGCGGATATCTCGCCTTCTCGGTTTCTCTAGCCGGTGTTGCCTCCTCCGCCGCCTTTGTCCTTGGTACTGCGGGTGCTGCTGCCAGCTGGGCATAGCTGGTTGATGGCCTCTGCCCATCATCCTGTGGCAGTCCCGATGGGTTGGAATGGGGCACGGGCGATGAGCGTCCGGATGAGCGTCCGAATTCCCTTGGTGTGCAGTTGTTTATGGGCGGTGGTTGACACTTACCATAAAGTGAGCCGCTTATTTGTTTGCCCATTCTATCAAAAAAGAGATTCTTTGCCTGTGACGCGAGACTTCTTCCCAGGCTTTAGATAAAAAATTTACTGCATGCAGCATATTAATAGAAGTTTTACCATCAGATTCGACTAGCTCTATCAATAATTTCAGAAAATTATTGACGGAGGCTTTTAATCACGCTTTAATCCATTTGCTGCAAGACATTAGTCGTATTTGGAGGAAGAAATGCCAACTCTATGTTTTGAAGGTTTGATATAAGAGAGTGGGCAGGGCAGTTGTCAACAAGAAGTAAAATTTTTCGTCCCTTTAATTCCGCATCCCACTTTCGCATTTGTTCTTCAAAAAGTTGACTGGTTATCCAAGCTGATTTATTAGTTGTATACATCACTGGTAATTTTTTAAGGTTCCTAAAACACCGCGGCTGTTTCGCTTTGCCTATTACCCCCCTATATATTATAATGTACTCTGTGCCTATTACCATCAGCTTTTTTTTTCTGTGCCATCCATATTAGCAGCCACAAGCATTGTAATACGTTCCTTGGAGAGCTCTCGTCCCACACACTTTTCCCCTTTAAATTTAATAGTTTTATCCGGGGGTCACCTTATAGAAAATTCCTGCTTCATCAGCATTAAAAATGTTACTTGGGGCGTATTTTTCTGTCAATTTTGACCACACTCTATTAATCCAGTCATGAGTAACATTTGTGTCAACACTTTGTGCTTCTCCACTAATTTTATGATGATGTTTGAATTTTCTGAGCCATCCTTCTGATGATTTGAAAGAAGTTAAACCAAGTTCTCAAGCAAACTTCTCCACCTTAGCTTTCATGATCGGTCCCGAGATAAGCATATTATTCTGGTGCTGTCAGTGAAACCTGGTTGCTTTAATATTTTGGAAGATTTTCCATCCTCCTCTGCATGTAGAATTTTTTCTTTGTTTTTCTATATTGTGGACACAGTAGAGCGACTAAATCCAAAGTGTCTACCAACATCACATATCTTCTCTCCTGCCTCTATTGCGCCGTATCAGTAACACTTTTTTGTCAATACACAGTGATTTTCTCTTACTTGCTATGTTTACAGTTTGAAGTCTGCGAGCAACTTAGTATATGACAATGTATAGATAATCCATTACTCCCACTAAGAACAGTCTACATGTGCAAGCAATCCCAATTTGTAAACAAAATAACGGATTTCTTAAAGAGTTTGATATGTATGATGCCGACAGTCGAGTTTATTACGGGCTAGGCTAATAAAGCGACAAAATAACATACACAGCTGTGCAGTTTTTACTAATTTTTGCAACTTAAAAAGTACTTTTTACTATTTAATTTTTGTCGTTATTGAAAGTGGGTATAATGCTATATAGAGTGTATCATTTCATACGTGGTAGCGTCATGCTGCAGCTATATTAGTAATATAGTTGTAGCCCGAATAGGTCGGCTCAACCGGGGAAGGACAACGCTCTCACAGAATACCAGCGTAAAATAGCAGCTTAACGCTGCTGTGTTTCGTATGGTGGGTGTAGGGAACCAGAGACCCTTTTTACTGGACAAGAGGCATTCCATCTTAGTCCTCACGGGTGACAACGCATCTGCATTTTAAGTCTTTATTGAGGATAGATGTAGATGTCTATGGGTCACAGTAACCACTTACCATCAGGTGGACTGTGTGCGCGTGTCACCCGATCCTATAAAAAAAGAAGCTAAAGCAACGAAAGCAGTGGTTTCGACGCTTTAGGGAGTTTGTCGTTAAATTGAGCGACGTTACATGGAGTTTAATATAATAAACAAATATACAGTGTAAACTACTGGCCGTATGAGGAAGCTCAAGGTCGCTCAGCGAGCTATGGAGAGGGCTATGCTCAGAGTTTCTCTGCGTGATAAACTTAGGAATGAGGATATCCGCAGTAGAACCAGAGTAACCGACATAGCCCAACGGATTAGTAAGCTGAAGTGGCAGTGGGCCGGCCATATAGCTCGAAGAACCGACAACCGATGGGGAAGAAATGTTCTTGAGTGGCAGCCTCGTACCGGTAGGCGAAGTGTAGGGCGACCCCTCACGAGATGGAGTGACGACCTGGTAGGACATGCAGGAATTCGATGGATGCAGGTGGCTCAGGACCGTGCTTTGTGGCATTCCTTGGGGGAGGCCTATGTTCAGTAGTGGACTTATGAAAGGCTGTAATGATGATGATGATATTAATATAAGACTATATGATTAATATTACTGTCTGTACTGTGTTAATTGGACGGTACAAGAATGGAAAAAAGTGTTATTTTCAGATGAAACTAAAATAAATATGGTAAATTCCGATGGAAAGCGCTATGTTAGACGTCCTGTAAACAATGCTTTTAATTATAAATACACAAGGAGTACAGTCAAGTACGGTGGCGGTAACATTAAAGTTTGGGGGTGTTTTTCCGGATGTGAAGTTGGACCCGTTTGGAAGATTCAAGGTACAATGTATATTAGAGCACACAATAATTTCCTACTCGGATAATCATTTGCCTGTAACCTGTATCTTTCAGCATGACAATGACCCTAAACACATTGCCAATAGCGTCAAATGTTTCCTTAGCGAACAGCATCTATCCGTTTTAGACTGGCCAAAAAATAGTACGGATTTAAACCCGATAGAAAATCTCTGGTATATTGTTAAAAAGAAAGTCTCAAACAAACGAAACACCAGTCAAAACGAAATAAATGAAGCATTTGTTGATGGAATTCAATCCCCTTAGAAAAATGTATGAAAATATGTTATTGAAAATAAGGGATACGTCACTAAATATTAATTATAACTATTGGTAGGCTGTAGATAGTAGGTATTTCGTAAATAACGATACTAATTACTAATACTTAAAAAAATATTGTTTTTTATACTTTTTTGTTGTTGTTTCTAATTCGTTGACCATTATTGTTCATACCCTAAAACTGATCTAAATGTTTGTCCGTAATGTATTATTGAAACTGCACTTGTTTAATGGGATTTATATTGTTTTTTAATAAGTAATAAATCGTTGAACATATTGTTGTCCTATTTATTGTTTAATTTCAAAATAAAAATGATTGCAGTGAAGTACCTTACATAATGTCAAGGACCGTTGGTAGTGTTTCTAATTATATGACCACCACTGTGTATATATATATTTACTAGCTTGCATGGCAGATGTTGTACTGCCCTTTCCGACGACCCTATAAAAAAACCTTAAATTCACAATAAAAAATATTGAAGGTCACTTATCAGGATAAAAAGTATCATATCTCTCAAGTTGAACCAATCTGCACACAGTGTGCAAAATTTCATTGTAATCAGTTCAATAGTTTAGGAGTTCATCGCAGACAAACAATGTGACACGTAATTTTTATATATAAAGATAATTTAATAAAATATTATGTACATTTAATTAAAACTAGACAACTTACAGTAAAATAATTACAGTCAGACTAACCTGGTCCATCAGAACACTGGGTGAGTGTTAAAAGGTTAACATAGTGGCCTTTTAGTGCTGGATCAGCATCTGCAAGCACTACTCGTGTGAGCTTCTTAGCATGCGCTCGTTCTAAAGTGCGTGCCACTCCTGGAGAGTGTGGCAGCCATTGTCCATTGCATTGCCACTCCCATACCACCACACAATGAACTGACGACATTACACCATATCCTGCAACATATTTTTTGTAAAATTTACTGTTATAATTTTACGGTGGTTATACTGCTGTCTATCAGAAGCCATATGATTTTTCTGGCATATCCTATAATCAACTCTTAAGACACTCACAATATGAGGTATCACTACCACATGGCGAGATCAAAGATTCGAGAGTTCTGGCACTTCAATTGTCTTCTGCCTTCCAAACATAGTGATTAAGTCAATTCTTCTCTACAAGGTTTTTACAGGACAATAAAAATGAATAAGGAAAGTAAACCATTGTAATTATGATGCAACAAACAAAAAGATAAATAACAACTCGCCAAAGTTTCATCCTAATCAGATAAACAGTATAGAAATGCATACAGGACAAAGTAATAAAAAACATAACCCTTCCTTGGCAGTGGGGTGAAAATTCATTATATATATTATATTAGACGGGTGTTCTAACAATTTAGCAATCACTTGATTTTAGTACAGGAGTGTGGAAAACAATAATATTTGAATAAAACAAATAATAATATTCAACTTATTTGGGAAATATACCCATGTTTCGAGTACTTTAAACTGAAGGTGGCTGTTGTTAACTATGTCATTAGGACATCGCCCAACTCAGTCCCCCCATTACCATGGTTGCTGTAAAGTACTGAACATAAACGTGATAAAATCTGTAAAAACTAATTTCATTTAAATTTCTTAAACTTTTTATAATATGTATATATCTTATATGGTTAAATTGTGAGTGATGTAAATAAATAATCTAATAGTTTCTTGACAATTCTTTTCTCAAGGTCTCCCACTATAATATAAAATTTGTTAAAAGCATTGACTTAATTTTCTTGACTTTCAAAGAGTGCTTTGTAAAGGTTTTGAGTCTATTACATTGCACCTTATTAGCTATAATCAGCTTATTAGAGAATTGGTAGGAGAAGAGAGACTGCAATGCCAATCTTGGTGACAGTATGCAGTAAGTTCCGCTTTGTAGCCAGCTAACGCAGTTTGCGACTTACATCCTTTAATTAAGGACCCCAAGACAGAATTTTGTCCCAGTTTTTACAAAAAAAGTAATGATGACCTATCTCTTTTGCAAATATATTTAAAAATATAGATAACTGTATGAAACAATGGTCAGAATTTATATATTGAATTTGAAACTAAGCTGATGTGTGACACTCCTAATTCTCTATATATTCTATATATCTAATACTCAATTACTTACTTAGCGTAGTCACCAGTTCGTACTAGTTCTCACGAAGAGAATATTTATCATTATAACTCAATGAATTATTTCAGAATATTATTAGCATTTCCTTGTATAAATTGATACTCTTTGATGTTTATATTATGACACGAACACGATCATCGATCACATGTAAATTTTTTATTTATATTTTTTCCTTGGATGCTTGTTCTTTAAGCCATGTTTTTATTTATCTTAGTAAACTAAACTGATCTCTATTTAAACAAGTACTTACGCTGGACTGGCTATACCCTAAAAAAATTGTGCCGATTTGAAACGTCGCCATTGTTCGTACCGGGAACTAAAATTAACATAATATGCCAAAGTCTGTTGCGTGTTTAAATTTAAATCGCATCTCTGCACTGACCTCTATACAATATGCACCATAATTAACGCACATCCTGAAAGTAGTTTGTTCAGAATCGTTTACTGAATCGATTTCTATCATTTTTAATATAGGTAATTTATTATCCTAAAAATAATTAAAACTACTTAAATTACAGCTCACTAAACCTATACAGTCAAAACAAACCATATACTTAGAATATACTGACGTATAGACCAACATAGTGTGTAAGGGAGAAGAAAATTATTTTTGGCAAAAATGCAAGATAGAAAAGGGTACCAAATCTCATGACTCTGTAACCAATTTTGAATGACAAATCGGCACAATTCGGCATGCAAGAAATAGCTATTAGATGTTTTGTAATTTTTTAGAGTGTAATAGTGGTTATTTCTTTTAAGTAACTTTTTTGCAAAATGATTACTTAATCTGCGAGTGACTGTGGTGTTAATAATAGAAATAATCCTGATAATTGCACCTTTCACAGGTAAATTCTCAAGACGTAAGTAATGTAAGACACTTTTATTTTTTGGTTAAAATTTGTGTTATATACTATATAAAATATAGAATGTTTTCAATTATTTTGTTAATTTTGATATTTTGCAAAGAAAAAAGTCACGTTGTTGATAATTTGCATGAATTTGGTAAATACATTTTAATACAAAATATTTTACATGTACGCTAGGGATTGACTCAACTGATATAGTTGAAATTATAAATTAATGTCGATATTTATCTTTAATGTTTATAATAAATCGATAGACTTGGGCACACAACAAGAAAATAACCTCTAAACAGTGTGACTAATGTTTCCGCCATTTTGCGTATCTGTGATGCCGACCGTCGGCAAGCGCACAGACAGGGATATTATAAGCATATGTTTTTTTAAAAGTTGGATTTCCTCGATTTTTTTAAAGGAATGCTGTACGCTTACAATTAAAATATTGGTTTTAATTACCTATTTTGTATATATCTTTACATATTTAGCATATTGGTAGTTATTTGCCATAGAAACATTACTACTTAATATGGGGTACAGAAAATTTTATTGTATTTCTTGATAATTTGTATAAAATAAAACAATAATTAAACTGAAACTAATTTTAATTAACACATTACATATCTAAGTTTACAATACAAACCAAAATTAACAAGGTCCTATACATTTTTTTCACACAACACATGTTTACAAAGTTGACACAAAAAATACTTCCACTTAAAGTAAACAAAAAAGGGTCTCACATTTCTTGTTATCTAAAATGACCCTGAGCGAATGGGACAAAGACCTTTTGTTTGCAGCAACTTAAGCTTATAAGCTACAAATATAAATAAAAGAATCATGTTACATTCAATATAAATTTGAGTACGAGTGGAACAAAGATGGTATGTAATTTGACACCAAAATTAGTACCTCTAAAAACATGTCTATTTTGGATAATATCTACTTACAAATGGAAAAGAAATTATTGTTTCAAGATATACATTAAATTTAGTAATCAATTAAACAAAAAAAACAAGTTGTTTCTAAGAAATATTTCAAACATCAAGCTCATGAAAGTAGTAAATATCTAAACATTTTAGCCTCATACATGCTAGCAAAGTGTGGATACGACTTGTCTTCAACAAGATAATGACTAGGTGATTTTTGTAACCCTCATTATTTTGAAACATTATAGTAAACATAACGGGTCTAATAATGACAATCACTTGGGATACTACTTAATATGACATAATTTTTAAATCATGCTTTGTTCACGAATCACAGCAAGAGGTAAAATGAACCGGCGGCTTGTAGGTTGAAGGTGAAGGTTTAGGCAGCATGTTGATACCCAAGCATGGTTGGTCATAATTTACCATTGTTCGATATGTACAAATATGTACAATATACACATAATATATGTATATATATGTACATGGCTACCGATCATGGACATATATATACATATGTTACAAAATGCCAAGGAAACGTACTGAAAATTAGGTTGAGCAACCCTCCCCCCACCTTCATTGCGTCCCTAATTTTCGTACGATCCCTTATCAGTATAATGACGTTTGCAATTTGAATGAATGACACGGACCTAGGTTCCAACAATTTTATGATGAGCCAAAATTTCAAAAGACAAACATACATATTATAACTCGTTAGAAACAAATTTATCACAAAAACATAACCCTCTATCTGAGGCACTACATACATACATACGCACATACATACATACGCACATACATACATACATATACAAACTATAGTATATAAATGTGCAGCTTTTTGTTTTCCAAATTTCCCATTACGATTTGGATGGTAACACCTACCTACTTTAACCTTCCCATTAAAATAGCGGCATACCCTTTTTACTGAAAAGGAGGCATTCCATCTTAGTCCTCAGGGGTGACGATGTATCCACTTACCATCAGGTGGACTGTGTGCTCAAGTACAAGTGTTTTTCAGATAGACCTTCAATACTAGTGCCTAAATACCTTGTGTGTAAGACAGTGTTTTTGTGTAGTTTACTGTGAAGTGTGATATGACTCAAAGCAACCAAACACACACAGGGGCACGTTGCAGGCTTTGCAAAAGCTTGATGTTCGCTTTTTGCAAACTGAACAACTACGCCTCTGGTGCTCGTTCCGTGTTGTTCCCGGGAGCAGATCGTATTGCCCCGGAAAATGCCAGGTGTTCGGCAGTGCACGGGTAGGTGCTGGTGGTGTGTGTGCTGCCAACAATTCCCTCACCAAAGTTTGGCGAAAATTTCGGTGAGAAATTGAGCGGTGTGCCTTGTGGAGTATGTAGGCATTTAGAACACTAGCATTCAAGAGCTTCCTGAAAAACTTTTTGTACCAGATTTTGTTCCGCCTTCTTTCAATGGGGTACATGGCGAGCATCTGGTCTTTGCGATCAACCCCCCCCATACAGACATTATAGTCTGGTATGACGGTGGGCTTGTGTGTATCGCCGCACATCGCGGTTGCTAGCCCATGGTATGTCGAGACAAATGCCACACGGTTTTTGTCCCGGTATACGATGAGGTCCACATCCCCCGAAGTGCAACCGTTCACCTGACCTATCGCCATGTCTTTTTTCGTAAGATTCGTCAGCTCAATGGGAACAAACTGACGATTCGTTCGTAAGGTCCCCACGCAGTCAAACCCCCGAACTTTCAATTCTCGCGCAAGCGCGGGAGAATTGTAGAAATTATCCATCCAAATCGTGTGGCCCTTATGCTCAAGACCATTTAAAAGTCTGAGCACAAGAGCTGGCACTTTCCCAGAAACTGGACTGTCCTCTTGTGGGTCTGAGGAGGTATCATGGCCTGCGTGGACTTCAAAGCGTCACAAGTAACCAGTCTGGGACTCACACACCTCGTATGTTTTAATTCCTACTGTAGCTGCTTTGTTGCGGATGAATTGGTTAATATCTAACCAACCCTTCCACATGGTCAGACTTTCATCCACAGACACGTTTTGACCCAAAACATATAATTGTTGGAATTTGTTGTTAAGGTGATCCAAAATTGGCTGCACCTTAAACAACTTGGCCTGAGCCCGTGTCATCAGTTCAGGATCGCAACCGTCATTATCCTGAAAGTGGAGACATTTGCTCAACAGCATGAAGCGGTCATACGTCATCGCCGCAGTGAACCCGGGGGTACTGAAAATGTCCAGCGTGCTGTTCCAGTACTCCTCGAGACGTGATTTCACCACAATCCCGGTAGCGAGGATTATAGCAAAATACACGTGCAATTCACTTACGTCGGTGTCTTTCCATTTGGTGATGCGGCTGCTCGGACAGAGCGAACCGTCCACCAGCATGACCGTTGCAAGCTGTTGTGCATATCGATTCGTCTCCATGGCAATGTGTTCCATTATATCGCGATCCCATATGGCAGTAAATGCGTCATATGGGCTCGCATATGGAACCGTGGGCCCACAGTTTATCTGGGAGAACGGTTCCCTCCTCAGCTCAGGAGGAGTTTGAGGTTGCGGGAACCCCCTCCATTTAAAATCAAATTTATTTCCTGGCTCCGACATGGGACAGGATGGGAACGAGGGAGTATGGGTAGGTAAGGAAGGCGGAACAGAATAATCAGGAACATGGGATGTAGAAGGAATGGGACCGGAAGAGTTAGGGACAGGTGGGTGATCATTGGATGTCGGAGGCCAGGAAAAAGAAATAAATGCGTCTACTTCCCCACCTTCACCCTCATCCTCCGATGCCGCGAACATTTGTACCACCCTGGGGACTATGGTGGATTGGAGTCCAATTTCTTCTTCGCCATCTTCTTCGGAGTCCTCGTCGCTGCCTGTAAAATATAAGATAAAATAACCACATTGGCCGACTGTAATAATTTACGTTTTTTTTAAAATAATCTGTTACATAAGTAGTAACTTAATACAGTCAATTATTCTAAAAATAATTGACTGTATTAAGTTACTACTTATGTAACAGAATCAGTAACATGAGAGCTGATGTTTATAGAACACAGTACGGGTTTTATTTGTATTTTTATTAGCAGCTAAAGCAAAACTATTTTCCCTTACCATAATTAAGGGCGTTGGATATTTCAATATCCCTTAGAGGACGCGACGAAGATGACGAGGAAGTAATTCTAAAAGAAGAAAATAAATTATTAAGAATCAAAATATTAAGTAGACACTTCTGCACATAGAATATATATTTATTAATAGGCACTCACAGACGCCGTTTAGCCCCCATGTCATTGTGGTCCGATCTGAAAAAATAATGTTGTTTTTTGATTTCTATCGTAATAGTTAT